TTTTTGTCCTGGGGAGGGGGGGGCACCACCTCTGTGCCCTTCTCTGGTGGCTCACCGTTCACCTCCAGGTCGCCGTAGCGGTTCCGGTACCAGAGGAGCATGCTCAGGCGGCATCGGACGTAGAGCCCGGCCAGGAGCACCAGGAGCACCAGGACCAGGAGGGCTGCCAGCACCGCGGGCACGTGGCCTGCCACCTCTGCCAGGGCAGGGAAGGGCAGGGTGAGCGTGGCCAGCGGCCCCCAGCCCAGGATTTCTGGGTTTGGTGTGGGTTTGCACCCCGATAGGCGGCGCTGGCAGCGGCGCCAAGATCCCCCGGGGTTGCCATTCCTGCCCCGTGCAAGCGGGTCCTCCCGGGAGGTGTCCCTTCTGTCCCCTCCCCGGCATGTCCCTACCCACTCGCCGCAGGGTGAAGGTGGCCGTGGCGTTGCTGACCCAGCAGGCAAACACCCCAAAATCAGCATCGTGCGTGAGGTTGAGCTGCAGGACGCTGGCGAGGAGCCGCTCCGAGGTGTTTGGGGCTAACCTGGGGGGGGGATAGGGCAGCCGTGGGGTGGGCTGTGTGGCCACCCACCCCGACAGACAGACGGACGGCTGGACACAGCCCAGGGCAGGCTGCTTACCAGGCGGTGTCCTGGCTGCTCTCGCTGCCCAGCCATCGCCCATCCTTGGTCCAGGCGGGGACGGGCTCGCAGGGCTCGCTGCCTGCCCAGCGCACGGTGCAGTTCAGCGCCACCCGGCTCCCCAGCGCCAGCTCCAGCGTCTCGTTGGTGGCCGGGACGAGGATTTCGGGGGGCACGCTGCAAAGGGCTGGGTGGGGGGGGGACACACGCACAGCAGGAAGGGGGTTTCAGGTGGGAAAGCTGATCCAGCTCCCAGCTGGGCGGGCGACTGTCGCAGCTCCCCCAGAAAAACAGGCTCTGCTGCGGGGGTCTGGCGGTGAGCGGCGCTTGAGGCTGCTTTGCAGCAGGCTGAGCCGGTTTTTGGGGCTGGGACGGACCCTCGCCCACCCTGCGAGGCAGAGCTGGAGCCATGAGCAGGGCTCCCTGCCGGCGATGTGTGTGTGGGGGGGTCCTTCCCAGCTGAAAAATGGGGTGAAAATTTTGATTTCGCAGCCTACCTGCCATGGTGTGCTCAGGCGGTGTGCCGGGGAGCTGCTGGCATCACCGGCGGGCAGCAGGGCCCCCGCGGCACGGCGTCTTCCGGAGGGGCAAAGTCCACTTGCCACCGCTGTCGCCAGGCAGGCTGGGCCTGGAATAGGTCAGAAATGGCTCTGTGAGCGCTGGCTGCCGCTGGCTGGGGCGGGGCAGGGGGGGCCCCGGGG